ACACACACAAACACACACTGCAGCAGCATCAACATTCACAGCACTCTCAGTCCCTGCAGCAGGTGGACGAGTTTCTGCTTCAGATCCTCCGACCCTCAAATACACTTCCTGTTCGCAAATGACCTCCAATCGTTAGAATATTTTAACTCCAGCTGAACGATGGATTAGTTTGATTTGTGAAAATCTGCAGCTCATAGTTTTTTTGGGAAATTCCACTTAATTGACATTGACGTGTCGATTAAAAACGTAATTCTCTCTCTCACATCACTTCTCTTTAAAAATTCTCGTGTTGAATAAAAATCCATGTTCTGCACAAACCAGTGATGCTTTTAGGTTTTGCATTTTCCTGGGTTGATATAAGTGGGAGAATCATGAAGAGGATTATTTAGCTGTCGGGACTAAAGTTTGCTTCACGATGGAAAAAAGTTTCATCAGGATCAACTTTTACTGTAACGTGTCGTCCGTCTCAAGCACATTCCTGGTAGACGGTTTAAAACACTGATCTTTTACCTTGTGATTGCTGAGGCAGAAAATATAACGCCTGTCATGATAACTCACACAGTTCATATAAAGTTCATAACATCATGTGTCAGTGTTACAAAGTGCTGTGCCGTGTTATTCCATCTGATCTGGATTATATAAAGTCCCAGAGACGTTTCCAGTCTGAGAAGTGAGATGTGACCGGAAACATCAAACCATCGTTTTTATCATTTTGTCATTTCTATTATTCAACTTTTGTTTTTCGGAAATATTTCCTAAAATTACACAATTACTTTTTTTTTTTTTACGATTGTTTGTATAATTGTTTACAGACGACACAAATTTAAATTTCCAGTGTGTATTTGGTTTCTATGGAAACGACAGTGAGGTTGAAATGAGTTTGCATTTGTCTGTTACGATCAGGGGCCGAACCCCAGAAAAAAAACAGTTTGATAAATATCTTCTCCATCATGAAGCCCTCTCCTCCTCTCACCTCTTTGCGGCTCTCGTCCAGCTCCTTGCTGCTCTCCACATTGACCACCATGCTGTTGGAGTTGGGCAGGTTGCCTCCGGCTCCCATTGCCATGACTCCCGCTGACGCGACATTATTGGCTGCAGCGCCTGCCGTGCCGTCCTGAGTCCCCCCGCAATTTTCTGCAGGGACCACGGCGCCCCCTCTCGGTGGGAACTTGCCGTCTATGATCATCTCCATGCTGCCCTTGCTGGGCGTCAGGTCTCCCTCGGTCCCCACGATGATGCCTCGGCGCTTGTCGGCGTGGTAACGCTTGCCCATGTACTTGTAGAAGAGCAGGCGGCGGTCGGCGATCCACGCCAGGAGGACACACACTGGGAAGTAGAGCAGGGTCACGAGGGCCTCCCACACCTGAAACACACACACCAAATCTCACAGTCATGTTTGTTTGCATGTTTAAATAAAGATCGAGATAAAAACATCACTTCCTTCTGAGTAGGACTCTGGTGGGATTTATATTAACAAACCGATTCTCCAAATCTCTGAGTGTGTCTCACCTCCACGACGCCCGGCGACATGACGGACAGGATGAGGTAGAGCCAGATGTAGGCGAAGATGCTCCAGAAGGCGGTGATGAAGAAAACCCGGAGGTGTTTGATTTTGCGGGACTCGTTGTTGGGGATCACCCACACGCAGATCCCCAAGATCACAAACATGTTGAAGGCGGCGCTGCCAACGATGGTTCCCGGGCCCAACTCGCCGGCCTCAAAGCCGTGACCACACACCTGGGGGTTGTTTAGAGAGTTCAACAAAATGATTATCAAGTGTGAGAGTGATCAGTGTGTGTGTGTGTGAGTGTGTGTGTGTGTGTGTGTGTGTGTGTGTGTGTGT